TGGCTAGCGGGCATGGCGCGTGAGTTGCCTTGCGGGTTGGCTAGTGAGCATGGAGCGTGCCCTGGCTTGCAGTCAGGCTAGCGGGCATGGCGCATGCGCTGGCTTGCGGGCTGGCTAGCGAGCATGGCGTGTGTGCTGGCTTGTGGGCTGGATAGCGAGCATGGCTCGTGTGCTGGCTTGCGGGCTGGCTAGCGAGCATGGCGCGTGCGGTCGCATGATTAGGAATAAGGTGGATATATTTTCTTCATTGTTCAGACAAATGCTGATGGGGTGACTAGATGGGGAGAAGGCAGATATGTAAGCATCACTTGGTGTTCCCCTGTCTTTTGAAAGCACATTGTTGCCATCTTCTTGCTTCGCGCTTCATCGAGTGATGCTGCATGGCGTATGGAGGGGAGCCTGCTTTTTTTTTTTTTTTTTTTTTTTTTAACTTCGCATATAGGAAAACCTACTTAACGAGGTGATAAGAGCAACATCGGTAAGTAGGCCCCTGCGTCAAACGCTCGATCTATTGGTGGGGAGCTGCACCTGCTGGAAATCGGGTCCAGCGTCCCTATACAAGATATGATGTGTATCAGCTGGAAATCGGGTCCAGCGTCCTATTCAGTGATATGAGGAAATACCATTGTGATGTGTATGAGCTGGAATTCGGGACCAACCTCCCTATTATGTGTTCGCACCTACATCTCAGAAAAGAGCCGAGGCATTGATAACTTCCCTGCATAAGGGAAGGATCGACCTCCAACTCTAATGTACTTTAATTACCTTGTAGGGTGACGTGGCACAACTCCTTTCGATTGGAAGTGAGGCTTCATGACGAGGCACTCATGCTCTTTAGCTCGCATTTTTTTCAAGTGGAGGTAGGTCGGCTGAGGCAAGTAAAGAAGAGGAGAGTGTCATCACGAGGAGTGGGAGGAGGATTGGCAGAAGACATCGAGTGTGGTTTTTGAAGAAAGGTTCTGCGTCATCTTCATCATCATCAGCAACAACATCAGTAAGGATCATTATAGGTTCATTATGTTTATCATCAGCAACACAAATAATATCGTCATCATCAGCAGCATTGTGGGAGAAATACTTACTAGGATCATCATCTTCATCATCATAGTGCTGGAAGATGGATTATCATGGTTACTTTCATCATATCATTATCATCATCATCTTCATCATCATCATTATTAAGGTGAGTGGGCATAGGAGGAGGGGGTTGGATCATCTCTCCATCACGTCTTTCCACTTCATTTCCCCCTTCACATTTCTCTATCAATTTCCTTTTTCTCCTCCTACCTCTCTCTCCTCCTTTGCACTCTTTCTTCTTTCTTCCTTTCTTGCTTCCTTGCTTCCTCGCTGACACTTTCCTTTGCTCTGCTCTAGCCTGATAGCTACTTCGTTTGTTGGAGTCTCTCGCTCTAATTCCGAAAGGAAGGTGGGTAAGGGTGAGTACAATGGATGGGGGGGTTGGGGTAATGGCGGGGGAAGGGGTAAGACATCACGAGGGAAATGGGTCAGGGGAGAGGAAGAGGAGGAGTCTAGGGTTGAAGAACATGGCAAGGGAGGTAGCGAGCAAAAGGATTGATGGTTGGATTAGGAGGGAGGGTTGGAGTAGGTAGAGTTGGCATAGGGAGAGGGAGGGGGAAGAGGAGGGGGTCTCACTTACCCTTGGAATGCTGATTGCTTCATAGTTATCTCATGTTTGAATTCCTCATCTAGTCACTGTGCTACCTAATCATCAATCTGACTAGTAATCTCATCACCTTATTACCACCCTAACTAGCTTCTCTAACTAATATCCTAACTTAAGTCTCAATACATTCTTGATATTCCTTATTTCAAAACCTGAAATCTCTCGTCTAACTAGCGTAAATGGTATTTTTATATACCTAAATTCTTTGTGATAGATTTTTGGATTATTTAACTCTTAAATTCCTTCTCTATCTGTCAGCCTTTTTCACGATGGTTTTCTCCCAGTGATTTCTTCGTATTATCTTTTATAGTTGGAATTCTTTCGCTAAAAAAAGTTCGGAGTATTAAAATCTTGGTAATCTTTGGTGTTCATTCTCTGTATTAAAATCAAAATTATCCAATTGTTTTGTAGAAACCTGGTCTTCTAAATTTCTCCAAATTAAATTTCTTTGGTTCGAATGCCTGTTCCTGGTATCTATATTCTCCTCTCTGAGCATCGACGTTTTTTTCTGATGGATGGAAGGTGGAGTAAACAGGTGAGAGCTCCAGTCTGCAGGGGCAACACAAGGTGGGAGGTGAAGCCTTGGATGGGGTGCGAGCAGATTTAGTGGGTTGTCCTATTCTGGGGTTGGGGTGGGTGTGCACATCCCAGCGGGGGCAGATTAGGGTAAAAGGTGGGCAGAGGCATACTTTGGGAGGGAACTGTATGCCTTTGTGGGATGAGAAGGGGGAATGTGGGACTGTCCCAAGTTGGGGCTGAGATGGGATGCCTGTAATCTGGGTAATCTGTTTCGGTGGACGCAGCGTTGGGATAGGGTGGGTAGGAGGGGAGGGGGGAGATTAGTCTGCAGAATAGGTGCTTCAGAATTCCAATAGTTTTCAAACATGTTATATCAAGCTTTCCGGTGTTCTGTAATTCTTGGCAGCATCTGGCCTTCTTCCTCATTCGGGATATAGGATTTCAGAGATGGTCACATCTGGATTGATATCTGCAGAGTTGCTTTGTTTTGTGCCCCTGGTTTGCCGATGCCAGAACGATGCTGGCCGGAGCTGGGGTGTTGCTCTGTAACCTGCAAATGACAGGAGTGTGAGACCTCGTAGAGAGATTTGGGGTTTTGCTGAGGGAGGAAGGCAATCCAGTGGCGAACCAGGGGGGGCTGGTTTGACAACCTATGGGTCTGGGGATAGTCTAGGGGGCGAGAACAGGTCAGCTATGGTAGACGTTGGTTAGGATGGCATTGTCTTTGAGATGTAATGTCGTGGTACAGGGAGAGCTAGGAGTTGTTTTAGGATTAGGAGGCCAGAATTGCTGATATAACATAGTCTTCTATATTTTTTTTATACTAATCATCATCATCATTATCATGATACGAGTGACACTAAGCCCGGTTCTCAGCAAGTTCGGTGCGGTCACTCCGGGTGGACTGTGAGGACCCCGGCCTCAATCTTCTTATTGGTAATATCAGCCTTGGGCACTTGGGCCGCTAAAAAAAAATAAAAAAAAAAAATAAAAATTAGACTACTTCGGTGCCTTCTTCCCTCCACTTGTTTTGTTTTGCATGATGATCTACCCCACATTGCTTCGGTTAACACCCCTTTAATGAGCTTTGCCTTGACAGTGTGTGGGCACATAGATATTAGCGTTGCCTTCACATCTCTTGATGGCAGTCTGTAGCGGACCCACCAGGTGTGGTGCTCCGCTAGTGACAGAGATGGAGATGGAGGAAGAAGGAGGGAGCAAGGTGCACAGCGCAACTCCCCACGCAGACTCCAACACACGTACTCCAAAATGTGCAACTGAAGAATGAGACTGAAAACAGACAATATCTGGGGTATACCCCAGCGGACTGACGGGACTGGACTGGACTGGACTGCCCCCGAATACAACACAGGCCTGTGAGAACAGGCCAAGGGGCTGGTCTCACAGGCCAACCCGAGGTCCGCTACACGATCCTCGGCCTGTGATGGATCGCCTAGATACAGACATGCTTCCGCCAAGAAGCGGAACTCTACCAAAGAAAAGAAAACCTGAGTAGTCTAGGATGCGGWGCAAGCTCCATGCTGAGTCCATGCGATGCAACCTAGGATATAAAATGTCACAAAACAACAATGTCACAGCTAACAGCCTAAGTGAAAGCAGAAGCAACTAACTAGCATACATGTCCTAGGAAAGCAGAAAGTAGTGACAACTAGATCCTAGAATGTTGGAGGCACTAGCCTCAGTCTGGTAACAACTGACTAGTGTATAAGTCCTAAGAACAGCAAAAGCAGAACAACTAAATCCTAGAAATGTCGGAGGCAGTAGCCTCAGTTTGAGAGCAMCAAAGCAATCAACAAGACAACCATATGTCACATGMGAAGTGTGTCGCAMACCAAAGGGTGGGRTGGTCTCTGAGGGTGGCGAATGCAGCCTAGGGGTCGAAAACTCCTAAGGGCATCCACACATAGTAACAGGGGAAAACACATGTCATCAGGCTCAATGAGGGTAGGGAACTGGGAGCGAACAGAACCAATGACCCTAACAGCTAGACCATCAGGGCGGGTAATGCTCGGCTAAGGGGTGACCGCTATGGAGGGTCGACCATGCAAGGGAACAAGGGAGCCTGGTATACTGGGCGCACCTAGATGAAGCATGCGGGGCTGCCTAACTAGGGCGTGAGGGCCGGCGGAGGGTAGAAAGATGATGGGTAAGGGAATCATGCAAATGACTCCTAAAGTGAGGGAAGTCGGAGCTAGATCCGTAAGATGGGAAGCCAGGGCAACGCTACGGTCCCGATGCCTAT